TGGTGTGATATACATACATCTCTCACTCACTCACTCACTCACTCACTCACTCACTCACTCACTCACTCACTCACTCACTCACCCATTGACCCGTAACATGCCCAACGCGCCGACTAAGAGGTATTTTTTTTACAAAAAAAATAACTCAATAAAGCTAAAAGAGTAAGTTAACGAAAAGTGTAATCCAAATACCTGACAACCAGAGTTATTCATTGATCCGTGAGTCCCTGAGATCATGGCTTCTTCTTAACTTGAACCACTCCCAGCGAGAATGCCACCATGGACAACGTTCAAGTATTTCCCTGCTGGTAACAATTTTCAATGTCACTTATTGCATAGTGAATAACATACAACTTCATGTTCACATTTTTCGTAGCTTTTATCGTTATTGAATGTCTTGTATCTTGCTATGCATTCTTGACATAACAACCACATTTGCTATTGTGCTAAATAAACTTCTCCTCATAAACACTTTCATTAATCGAATGGAGAAATTGTATTGTTTCCTTTTTCACCCCCCCCCCCTCCGTGGACAACTGAACCCGCGATGAATAATTAGCAAATATAGAAAGCCCGTATGTTGGGACATTTTTGTAATGTAAATTTTTCCCGCGATCTTCCCGTCAGAAACGTCCACATTTCAAAGCGNCCCCCCCCCGCTCCTCCACCCCTAAAACCCGCGATGAATAATTAGCAAATACAAAAAACCCGCATGTTGGAACATTTTTGTAACGTAAATTTTCTTTTACGACCTTCCCGCAGGAAACATCCATATTTTAAAACGCAAAGGTGACTCGTTTACAATAAATATTTTACACGTGAGACATACTCTTCTTTAATACTTCGACTGCGTCTGACGTTTGCCGTTTCAGCGTATTTTTAAACGTTAGCAAATTAAGGTAATTTTTTTTTTACCTAGTTAGCTTACTTTTCATTGCTCTACAAAGTAGAAAATCATTGCTCTACAAAGTAGAAACATTTTCCGTTCTTTTTATCGAGTTATACTCAGAAACACAAATGAAGATCGGGAGAATAATAAGAAAATGAGCGCTAGTTTGTGCTTTTCCCTTTTTTCGTCATCTACTTACTCTGTGGAACTGATAGGATGGTTCGACCTCGTGACTGATTATGTACGGTAGGAGGCGGAGGCGACTAGCTTCCTGCGAGGTATGCTCTTTGGAAAATTTTGAACTACCGTAAATCCTCGAATTTACCTTCCCCTTCCGTCCCCTTCGAAGACAGTTTGAAGTAAACTCTCCCATCCACTCTTTTGATACAACTACAAGGGTTGAATATAATAGTGTTATTCACGTATAATCTCTCGCGTGGCATTTTTAACATCATCACTGGACACAGTTTGCTTGAGGATGAGTGGGCATTTGATCTATAAATTGCGACATTCCCATCCAAAACTTGACGTGGCCGCCTTTTTCTGACATTGGGTTTGCCGTTTTAAAGGAATTTATCTCTTTACCTTAAAACGAAAGGCTATAAAGTATCATGTTATATGATAAATCGCGCAAGTTATTCCTCCAGATAGAAAAAAAAGGGCTGTTTCTGGTGTTATGTTTTGAAATGGTAACCTGCTGTTGCATCTTTCTAGAAATTCATGGCAAAGAAAGCATATTTACAACAACTCAGTGAAAAACATACATTTTTAATTCACTTGTGCACAATTGCGAGATATTTGATAAAAAGACCAGCTCTATCAATCTTCCACCAAATTATGGAATAATTATGAGTGCATTAATGTATTCACTAAAACTGTATCAATGGTAATTAACTGTAGACTGATACAAAACTGCTTTCAGTCCCATCTAAACTTTACACGTCATTAGTTCTCTAACCACACAGTAATAAAAAGAACTGCTACATCAAAAACAATTTCCATCAAATTATGGAATTATCCGTGTATTGTGTTTACTAAAATTGTATTAATTTTAACCAACTGTAGACTGATATAAAATAACGCGTCATTAGTCCTCCAATAACATAGTCTTTTCATCGAACCCTGCTCGCACAAGTTCATTTTCTAAATTATTCAAAATTTTAGAAGAAAAATTTTCTCACTGATACAAAGACGTGCTGTGACATTTTTTTTTCAAAAACTCATATTTAATTTTCACTCATGCAGGAAAATGGGTCTACAAGTGTATTTTTTTTTCAAANCTTAAAAGAGCAGAAAAATAGCATCACCTCAAATCACAGCCCATATTTTCTGAAGCTTCCCTAACGGAATGGCGCGATCCATTTGATTTTCCAACTGGAATTTCCGGTTTTCCCATGTAAATGGTAAGTACCCACTGTGAACTATGTAACACACTTTAGAAGCCAGTTGAATCGCTTTGTCGCAGAGGACAGCTTAATAAAATCGAAGTCCGATATTTTTTGATCTAATTGGCGATTTTATGCAACGTTTGTTTCGATTTAACTACGACTTTAAACCTGAAAATAAACTGATTTTCAGTGTTCCTAACAGGTCCAATGGAAGGTGTGTTGGTCGAGGCACAATCTATGACCAGTACAATATTAGAATGGTGCTAAGCAGAAAAGAGCGAGAATGCATAAAACAATACATTGCCTATGTTATATTGTTGGGATATTGTCTTGATTTACAAACAAATGCTCTAAACTACCGAAGGAACCCTGGATTAGTGTCTAATACAATCTAATTGTGCACTTACTATTTCACGAGTTACGTAAAATTATTGTATGGTTTTTAACATGTAGTTTTTACGATTCTAATTCTACGTTTTCTCCTAACTTTCCACTTCAATCGAGAAGATATATCAAACACTTGAGACCTTGTTTTACCACATGTCTAAACACCTATGGATGCCATTTTGGGGAAAAGGCTCACCTGAAAAACTTTATTCATCTTAAGAAATTTTTGATTTCCAGTTTAAGATTGACACATGCTAATATCCGTACCTAGAAACTGAATTAAGTTAACCATTGTACGGCGTTTCAGTATGCTAATCAGAGTAACTGGGGCGCCAATAAAACTAACCAGCTAATTACACAGTAGCTTAATACATCATTCGGTCTAGAAATCATCTAATGAACTAAAACGTCGGGCAAAAAAATTACATATTCTCTATTTTCCAATTCACCATAATTCATTCTGTTTGCCACCCACATTTTACATAAATTGTTGTTGTGAAATGCTCTTGGGAATATGCAGACCTCCCAAGAGCATTTCACAACAGTTTATGCAATTTGAGGCGGGTGGCAGGGGGGTAGTGGTGGGGTGGGGGAAGCAAATAGAGTGAATTACGGGGAATAGGCCACTCTCGATATATTGAAATTCAGCTTGGTAGTGAGGCCTAGAAGACACAAACAAAAGAAATGAATAAACATGTACATTCTATTTCCTTTGTTTTCGTCCTCTAGGCCTCACTGTCAAGCTGAATTTTAATACATCGAAAACAGTCTATTGAAAAATAGAGAATGGAGACAAGCTGGTCGTTTCAAGTGTGCGATTTCTTGACTTTGTAGAATAGCACATTTTCCAAACGCATTGTAGGAAACTCCACGCAAACGGCAAGCACAAAAGCCGACGCGTACGACATCACCACCACAGACACGAAATAGAAAGCCTGCAAAGATAAAAAAAGTTAGCGATCAGTTTTTACCTGTATCACCATTTGAGCTGTATCACCATTTGAGAAAGGTTCGATATGACAACCAGAGTGTTTGCGTTTGGGGTTTCTTCATTATTTCCATTTTCGTAAATGCAAAATAATAATAAGAAAAACAGGTCCCATAACTTACTTGTTCCAAGGTCAGAACAACCTCATTCCTCCGTTTCGTGACGAAAGAGGTCCCAGCATGCATTTTTGTATTCTCGGTATTGGACTGGAACTAGCTTGGAATGGAGGCTCATGCGGGGGAATATCATTAAAAGGAGATCAATGTCATTTGCACTTGAAAAGACCAGGAATATGAAAATGGACTGAACTGAACTATTAAAATTGACTTTAAAATACACGGGCTACTTATAAACTCCACATCTAGAACACCGTAATCTGAAAACCAATAGCTTTCCGCTGCTCTTATCACAACCGGAATATGGCAAGGGATGTAACATTTTAACAATATTCGCCCAAATGGGGTAGATTGCAGCAACGGTTAGTACAATTACCATTCAAGATTTTGCTTTCAGTTAAACATTACTTACAAAATTTTTGTCACTGTACTCTACGGTATGTTGGAAAGAGCCGAAGTATGAGCCAAGAACCAAAGGATGAAGTAAGTACGCACTGTATGTTAAACGGCTTAGTGGAATCCAATATGATGCCGACAGAAACTTGTTCACAAGACCTACAATGGAAAAAGAATATAGAAACATACACACGTCAAATGTTCGTGGTTGGCTAACCTGATATTCTCTTCATAGGGACCTTTTAGGTCTTGGTTATTTTGTTATTTCATCTTCGTAAACCTTTCGTTCCCGGAATTGTAACAATACTCGATAAGATTAGTAGGGAAATGATGACAGCAAACAAGATCATCGACATCAACATTGAGTTGCAATGCTTGATCCCCGGTGTCTGAGGCAACGCACAAGACCATGCAAGTTTTCTTATGACAAGAATAACGCACTGTTCGAGTGCACAGCAGAACAAGACAGGTTTATCCGTCCTCTTGTTGAAGGTCATACCCATGAGACAATTTCACAACATCATCTTGACACGACTCCTGCCTTCCAGTTTTTCAAACCACATTGTCAGTTTAAAGTCAGTTTTAAAGACTTGCTATGCACTGCCGAACTACGAAAACACTCATATTAGCTAACTTAAGCGGAAATTTAGGAGTTCCCTTAGAGGATTAAAAAATTCCGACTTTCCGTTATCTGGGAAAAAACGTTTTTCTCTTGGCTGTGAGAACAGTACTCCACTGGCTTTCGGACTTTTCTTGAACATCTTATCAATTAAAGCGGGCAGATGTTTAGAACATAAGAAACAAACTTACTTCCATATCCCTTGTTACAAGCATAGATGACCCAGGCCAGAGCCAAGCCCCACACAAAGCGACTGAAAGTCCCATAAATGACATTCTCAGCTGTGTTAAACGGTCGACCTCCTGCTTTATAATACGTGTAAACACCATACACGGAAGTCACTCCAAGTCCTATTGCCAAGAACCATCCAACCAAGCAGACTACTTGCCTTGGCACCTTGAACTGGAAGAAACACATTTTTTAATGAGGCACTCTTGCAATCGACATTTAGTCGTCACGCAACCTCCTCATTATGAAGCACTGCGTGACAACCACAATAAAGACAATCAATTTTCACGTTTTGGGCGTCACGGAATACTCATACACTGGGGAAGACTGGAAGTAGTTTAATAGAGAAACGGTCACTATCGATTTTAGCCAATCATATTCCTGAATTCGGCAGTTCCCAGTCCTTGCGAGACAAGGCGATATAATAATGTACATTCTTAACACGGAGGACACGAGGGAAGGTCCAGAAGGTAGTCAATTTTCTTCTACACAGGGCCCGAGGGTAGTACGCTGAATGGGGATTTTACTGTCCGTCCCGTTCAGTTAAAAATAAAAAATCTCTTGGCCATTAATTTTACTACACTATTAAGAAAGAAGTCAACTAAACTAGTTACATAGCCTGAGTGTCTGGACGTCCAACTTCTTTCTCAGATCGGAAACTAGATCAAATCATTCCCTTAAAAGAATGCAACTTGCACTGACTAATAAGATTACGACATGAGGCGGGTGCCTCTTCTCGCGATTTCGCTTATTATGGTGGAGATCCTATCAAAGTTTCCTCTTGTAGCCTAGATGTACTTACCAAAGGGCTTTTGCTAGGTGCCACTTTCTCGATGTGAATCAAGTAGCCAAGGGCGATGCCCACGAGATAAGGCGCGATCCTGCAATAAGGCTTGATATACACCAGGTCGCTATAGCTACCCCTGTCTGGATCTTTTTTAAATCTGAGGCAAAACAGGAGAAAAGGTCAAATCTCAAAACTTTCAGATTTACCTCCGCCTAAGCTAACACCAGACCCATTCCTATTGAAGTGCTCAAAGTTATTCCGAAAGTCAGTTTTCTTCTTCTTCTTGGAGAGTGGGTGAAGGGTGGTGGGGGGTTGTGGGAGGTGGAAGAAAGAAACGGGACGATACCGTATTTATACTATTTTCTGAGTTGTTATGACAAAATCAGTTATAAAATGCGTTTCGCGTTTTTTCCTGTCTACTTGATATCACCGAGGCAAAAGTTACAAATATGATTTATTTTTATGGCAATATTTCGCTTTCTTAGATCCGTTTAGACGTTCGCCAGTGGTGGAATAGTGGGCACCCGTAGAGAGCTCGATGTTTATAAATTATTACAGCGACGGTCGACTTGGCCCCGTTACATTCAGTAGCTCAACCTTGGTATTTATTTTCTATTGATCTCCTCGAAGTGTATAAGCGTTCCAAATTCAACCCCGTTTGATAGTTTCGTCATAAAAGTTATGCCGGTATGGGTATGAATTAAACTGAACCTCAAGCTTATGAAATATTATTATTATAGGAGTCGCTTGTTCACATCATTATAAGGACAGCGGCAGTAAGAGATCTCTAATTTACTCTCATATCATATCTGTTATTACAAACAGGATTGTTTAGAGCCATCACAGCCGTCATGTTGGTGTTCTAAAACTCAATTTTTTTTCCCTTTGGGAAAGAGTTCTTTTTCTTATACGAACAGTTCCCACTGTTTGATAGCACCAACATGGCCGCTTCAAAGATGCCCTTCACTTAGTTCCAAAACAGGCATAAATGTACATAGCTTACCCCGTTATGAGCTGTCCAACTTCAAGCACATCTGTGTTGTAAACACCGATTATCACAGCAGTGATAGTTAAACTCAAACCAAGAAGGCCGCCCACGCTAACAAGAAGTCCTGGCCATTGGAATCTATTTTCAACAGTTTAACAAATTGACGTCAGTGTTTTATGCGTCTGTCCTCTTATTGATGATAAACTGGGTCATAACATTGTCAAAGTGGCTGTGGAACCACGAGCCACTGGCGAGTTATGAGTTATTTTTTTTTTATTAATTTACAAACACAATATCCATAGGAAAAACTAAACAAAATAAAAAGAAGAAAATAGCAATATTACAGCAAGTACAATATCACAATTTATTGAACATATGAAATAGATTTCAGTTAATCAACAACTCTTGCTTCTGTTTTGAGCTATGTGCTTTGCTAATCATCCGTTCATCGACCTTGGATGGCCTCACGTGCGAATCCTGAAAACCAGCCAATCAGAGTGAACCTTAGCATCTTGATACGTGCTTGCTAAATTTGGCCACTGTCTTTTGCTCTCACACGAGCTACAATGCGACATTTTGTCCAGAATATTTTCTATTCNGATGCAGCCACCTAAACACGGCGCGACGTTTTAGCGATTTGTTTAGTCCCCGTGGCCTTATGCTCCACTCACGAAGGGGCGAAGAGGATGAGTGAGTGAGTGTTAGTCCCCCGACATTTACTGATAGGCCTTTGATATCACAAAGATTAGTCATTAAGAATTAGAGCAAAGGGTGTTGCCACAGATCCCAGAGGACCCACAAACCGCTCATACGGTTCGAGAGTTTTCACAGTTTCTGACAGATTAGGCTGTTTAAATTTGCATTTTGGAGTTTGATTTTGCATGCTGATATAAAGAACATCCGATTTACATTCTAGATATGTCTGATTGTTTGCCGATAGCATTTGAAAAACGTGTGTCTAACGCAACCCAAGAGAAAAATTAAACGTACTAAAATAAAATAAAACAAAAAAAGATAACATTGACATCAAAAGGTCCAAAAAGACCTGAACGCGAAAGAATACATCTAATTTTTCGCATTTCAGACTGGCTTTTGGCTATACAGATAATTTTGAGAAATACAAACGACCTTAAACAAACGTATATTTTCTTTGGCACTCCGAATAAACTTAAACATAGACGTCAAAATTTGAGAAGCTCTTGATTTGTAGAAAAAAAAAAGGAAAGAAGAAGGAAAAACAATAATATCAAGACGAGTCTGAGTAAACTTTGTGATTCAGCTTTCCTTGTTTCTACTCCATTTTTTGGAATTTGATCAAAAGTGTAACGTCTTCCGTTTACAATAAGACGGTCTCCAGTGATCGTAGCTCTCGTACCCGCTATCTTTCGTGCTCCCTTCATTGCTGGTACTAATATCGTTTTTCTGATTTTCCGTACAGTCGGAAGCAGGTCCTCGGCAAGGCTATAACGACTGCCTTTTAGGTTGTATCTTTGTCCCCAAACCAGGTCTCGATCTTCTCGACAAGTAAAACGCGCAATGACCGGTCTGGGCTTTCCACTAATTTGTTTAGACTTCCCTAAACAATGCACGCCACAGAATTTCGTTGAATTGACTATTTCTTCGTTAATCTTCAAAGCAAACAACATTACATTTCTGACTTCAGAGAGATTGGTGATGAGGCGCTAGAGTGTAGACGTGTGCTTTGGCGATGAAAAGTTCGTAGAAAACGCACTAAAACACCTCTCCGGCTCCCTGGCTTTAGCCTTTACTATTCAAAACGTGTAGAAGCAGAAGGATGCCACCAAAAAAGCAAGTTCAGACCCAGGAAAGCGAGCGAGAGAAGGCAGTTCTAATAGCGACCAAGATGGCGACACTATTTACCTTGAAATGCTAGAACGGATTTCAGTACTGGAAAGCAAAGATAAGGAAAACACGAAGAGATTAGAAGATATGCAAACTGACCTCGACCAAGCAAATGCAGAAATCTCTCTGCTACGTGAGCAAGTCAAGTCGCTAGAGGAATCCCTTACATTTACACAAGCAGAGCATGAAGAAGTCAAGGAGAGAGTTAACACGTGCGAAGATCAAATGAGGAATGAGGTTGAGCTTATCCGACAGAATATCTACAGCAGGCGCTGGAACTTAATCATATATGGAATAGAAGAGTTAGAGAGAGAGAGAGAGAACTGTACAGCTCAAGTCAAAAGAACTTAACTATGATAGTAAGAAACAGTCACTAGGTGACAAAACTCCAGTTGCTCAGAGGGCTGAGTAATTTCACAACGCTCACGTGTTTCCTGTTAAAAGCGAAAGCGATGGCTACCAAAGGCTGTGACCTAACGTAGAAGAGCTGTCGTAAAACGGGATCAAATATGTCATCTTATCAAAAATTGGGTCATTGGATAATGCAATTCAAAAGTTTTCATTGGCTTTACCGCTTAGTCATCATGGTACAAATGTATATGAGCCATTATACCATGCTGTCCAAATAAAGAAAGTGCACACGTGATTTTTGGGTGTGTGTTTATTTTTATTTTATTTAGTTTTCTATACGAGTTGGTTATCTACCATCTCATACCCAACGCGCGCTCGTGGAATAATAGTTAAATTTAACAAATCGAATGTGGTTTGGCGTAGTCTGTACTCTTATCGACAACGATACGCGTCATCACAGTGATCACATGTTGTGGACTCACGAGGCGCATTTACCACAATATCAACGTCAAGGAAAATGTTTTTTAGAGCGCGAGCTGAAAAAGGCATTGCGTGACACAATGACGCGAGCAGCGTTGTCTGAACTCTTATCGACAACGGCAAATTAGCCAATCAGATTGTGAGATTTGTAGCAATTGTGGTAAAGATATTATGTATTGTGACCCGACGTGGAAAATTTAAACATGCAAAATTAGCCACTCCAATTGCTTCCCAATAAAATTTAAACCCCTGCTATTACCTGAAGGTTATGTAGAGCAGTATTGGACTAATCACGTAAAACTGCATGTCATTCGCCAGATACCATGACCAAGGCAGACACTGCAAAATATGATAAAACAATGAATCTAAAGATACATGTAATTTTTAGCATAACAGCAACTGTTAAAATAGATGGTCGAAATTTTTAAGTTGTACTCACAAAAAATGATCCGGTTGCCATAATTTTAAATTTCCTCTTATCTCTGAGCCCATCACACCCATAATACGAATTAAGGTCGGTCACTTCTTGTAGTTAGCCAATGCATAAGTGAACTTTTGGCAACTTCCTTTTCTTTGGTTTTATTTAGATCACGAGTATTCGGTCGTTGAAACTCGACAACTGTACCAATTTAACAAAACAACCGTGCATTCTTATCTGTAGATCAGTTTGCATTCTGGCCAATGGAACTTAGAGTGCTGCAGTTATCTCACAAATTGCCATGTACCTACATTCTCAGTGTTCCTGGGTCACCACTGATGTTACATAAATACGGACAAAACATTTTCAATTTCTCTCAGCAGTAGAAAATGATCCGATAGAAATGTCGCTTTCTCTATTTGCGTCCAAAGAAACATGCACATAAATTGGCAGAAACCAAAAAGAGTGAAAAATCCATAAAAAAAAAACAAACAAACAAACAATAGCGGTGCCCTACCTCCTTAGTCAAAGAAAAAGGATGAAAATTGTTGATGTATAACAGATTTGTCCACCAGTAACTATCACACGGTGTTCGTACTTGGCTGCCATACCACAATGGTCCCTCACCCAGGAATGCATTCAGATTGGCATAAAACAAAATAACAAACATATAGCTTGGGGTCAACCTGTAAGGCAGAGAACATATTAACAATATTATTACTTAAACTACTTGTTGTTTAGAACGTTTGTTTGAAAGTACTATTAATAATACTAACGAACATTTGTGAAAATGCTATCGTCTGGGTCTACAAGAGATTTTCTCCTGAATACCAGCTAGTATGAGCTTCTTTACAACTTTGAAAAGGAAAACGGATTTCAGTAGTCGGTTCTTTCTGTAGAAACAGTGTACGTTTTTAAAAAACACTTTTAGTAACTGTTTACAATACCAACATACTGACGTTACCTACATGTACAATACTGACATTAATTATTTACAATAGCAACATTGAAACCGTTTACTTAACTGACTTAATCATGAAAAAAAAAATTAACTGCACGATATGACACCAGATTCTTAAACAGAAAAACATACAATTAAACTTAGAGTTTTGTCACCTTCATTCCAGAAGAAATAGCAAAATAATATTTAAATCACCTCCAAAAACGATGAAAATAGAATTGAAACAGCGGCAATCTTCCACTGTTCTTGTCCATACGGCGAAATGAAAGGTAACCCACAAGCAAACCACTAAGGAATGAAAACAAAAGAAGGCAAAGTAATGTAAATAGCAAGTTTGTATGGGCGCCAAATGCTGTCATAATGGTTACCCAGCTGGACTCTGAATTTAATGCGATGAACTAGCATCCAACCCCCAGGGAAAGGGTTGGGGGAGGGGCGGTGTAGAGAAATACTTCTAGTTGCCTCAGGAAACGGAAACCGGAATAAATCCGCTCTCTAGGCTAAGGCATAATTTCTTCATTCTCAAAGAATATCATAAGAATTTTCGATTCTGAATTCAGTAGCGGTCATCTATCTTGATGACCTGCATTCTTTAGGTATTTGTAACCAGGTAAAAAAGCATATCCCATTAAGCCAGTTAACCTATATGCACAAGTGTGCCCAGACAAGGCTCACCTCATATTAGATTCGTTTGATCACCAGTCAAAAGACTAATGCACAAGGACGCTATATATTGGATGGCTTTTCTTGAGAATCGATTAACTCACTAGCAAACATACATGTACCATACCTTAGTAGGAAAAAACTGTCAACAGAGAAGAAGGCATTATTCACAGCTTGGAAAGAAAACCTATGGATGATGTTCACCCCTACACCAAGATCATCTGCAAGAATAATAAAACAGACAGTATTATTATTATTACTATTATTATTATTATTATTATTATTATTATTATTATTATTATTTTTTTTTTTTTTTTTTTTTTTTTTTTTTTTTT